TTTTTTTTTTTTTTTTTTTTTTTTTTTTAAGTTAGATTTTAATCCAACCCATTACGCCCTGGGCTTCGGTCCATTCATGCCACACCCAGCTGCCTAATATGGTAACAAAATAATAATAATAATTATTATTATTATTTTTCACCTCAAGAATTAAATTATTATCATGTTTAAATTAAATTAATTATTTATCATTACTCGATCTTTTGAACAATAATTTAATTATTTATCATTTAAATTAATTATAAACAAAATTTACGAAGTTATTTTAAAATTTAAATTTATGAAAATATTTAAATATGCTTAACTTTGATGGTCCAAATCTCTCCCTCTCGATACTTTGCTCACAACTTAGTTCCCTTTGATACTTTACCCAATAATGGGCAATTGAATTGCTCCCAGTTTATCATTAGCATTTATTCTTATCCATGCTGTGACCTAAGGTACCTCACAAGCCAATCATCATTTGGGAAAATGCAAACTTTTCAATATGGATAGATTTAATTAGTTAAAATTGAAAATTATTAAATATAGAAACAAATTTCACTAAAAAAAAAAAAAAAAATACATAGTTAAAATATATGTGAATTTGAATCTTTAAATACCTTTTAATTTGAGTCGTAAATTTGAATTTTTAAACTCAAAAAAATATTATTTCAAATTAAACGCGCTTAATTTTATAGATTTTATAGTCTATGATTGAAATACCGAACAAAAATGCACCTTATTAGTATATATAGTATCTATCAAGTTTTTAAACATTTTTTTTAATCATCATATCCTTAGGATCGATTACTCTCATTTGAATGTGGTATCGGTTCATTCATGTACCTTTTATTTTATTCGGACGTCAGGATTGTTTTTATTAAATTACAAATTTAACGCTTTAATTTATACAAACAAAGATTGGAGGGAAGCGGCAAAAGGCAGGTTCAGACTCTGTTCACAAGTCCAGGCGGTTACGCACATGCCTCTCTCCACCAAAGGGCTGCCATATAAATAGCCCCACAACGCCCTCCATTTTCGAAAACGCGCTTCAAAAAATCCTCCGCGGCAAAATTCAAAATTACACAGATTGGTGAACGGAGCGAAACCGAGAGGTCTCCGTGGTTTTCTAATTGGCCTCACCGCTCACCGGACCACTTCGCCGCCGCGGATCGTCTCGGAACTCCGGCATGCTGTACTTCGATTTTCAGCTTTTGTCTGGATTGAGTTTCGATCAATTCTCACTCGTTTTCGGCTGCTTTTATATCTTTTGATCTGTTAGTCTACTATATTATCAACACGAGAGGTATTTATCGGCTACTCTCTCTCGCTAGTCTTGATTTTGTTTCTGTTTTTACTCGATCATTTACCTGTGTTGAATCGTACTGATCGTGTCGAATTCGGATTTTGTTGCATTTCGCGTTACTTTATATATCTTCCTGTACAATTTTCTGATAGTTTCTTGAGAGGTACACTAATTACTCTGATGACGCTTTAGTTTTTGTTTTCCGCTTGTATTAAGAGGATATTTTGCGGTGATAATTAGTTAGAATATATCTCAGATATTTAGGGAGTTGTTAGTATAGATTTGATTAACCGTATATTTTATTTATTTACCAGATTTAGTTAGATATATATTTTTTCTATTTTTAGGTATTAGTTGATAGTTTGTATCCTATTTAAACGTGGTAAACATGAATGAAGATCATACTTTCGATCCCAATTCTATTTCTATTTCTCATTCTTAACATGGTATCAGAGCACCGATCTTGATATTCCTAATATCAAAGCACCGATCGTGGTATTCCTAATACCCCTTGGACTCTGAGTCCAAGGGGAGTATTAAACCTAAAGCCAAACCCTAACCAATCAGTGAAGTCTTTATCATCGTCAATCATCCAATATCAAGAATACGTTATAAGCATCTTCAAATTTCTCACCAAGCTCTAAGGTGACATATTCAAGATGTTCGTATTTTCTTTCATAGCCTCTCAAGTGATCCAAAGCACCGATCTTGGTGTCATTATCCACTAAAGCATTTGTGCATGCACCAACAAGTGATCAGGGAGGATATTCACTTGTTCCAAATCAAATTAAATGGACAAGTTATCAATCCTCGAGTCAATCATTGCGGTCTATTTCTGAGTCTTGCATCTTTCTTGAAAATTCAATAATTTCTTGAAAGTCTAAAAATGCAAACCAATCAAAGGCGGTCTATTTTTTGACAGATATTTTCATTACTGGGAAGACAAGAGTGAAAGACAACTTGGGTGTTATTGACCTACCGTAAAGACAAGTTAAAGACAAGTTGGAGGTGATTAACATACACTCTCCAACTTGAGGGGGAGTATTAAGAGGATATTTTGCGGTGATAATTAGTTAGAATATATCTCAGATATTTAGGGAGTTGTTAGTATAGATTTGATTAACCGTATATTTTATTTATTTACCAGATTTAGTTAGATATATATTTTTTCTATTTTTAGGTATTAGTTGATAGTTTGTATCCTATTTAAACGTGGTAAACATGAATGAAGATCATACTTTCGATCCCAATTCTATTTCTATTTCTCATTCTTAACAGCTTGTTTTTCGACTGATTATCAATTCGTTCGATCGTCTGGCTACGTCTTCTTTCTCGATTATGAAATCTCTTGTGGTTTATCGTTGTGCGCCGTTAAACTTAGAGGTATTTTGCTTCGACTACTATTATTTTGGTTTCCGTCTTGCATCTGAAATGCTCATGGAATGTGAAGGATAGGTTCCGATTACCGAAGTATAGCTTGTATTCGTGTGGATGCTTTTGTCCTTTGTGCATTCTATAGACACCAAAATCGACTATGTTTTATGTTCTTTCACAAGATTGTGTAGTTTAATCTGGCTTTATATATTCCCCTGCCTATTCACTTTCTTATATCATATTAATTCTTCTGGATTAAAAAATGTAATTATACTTTAGGAATCAGTTTATCTAACTCTTATTTTTTGTTATAAAACATAGATCTCTACAGTATGATTGGAGTACTAGTCACCAGAGGACTCACGTATGTTTATAATTATACTCTCGACTTATATGCTTAAAATTTTTGCTCCACAAATTGTAATTTTCAAGTTGATCTTAGATCAAGTTTTATTGTGATGGTAGGATGCTTTTAGGCTATGCCTATCCTGCTTATGAGTGCTATAAAACTATTGAAACCAGCCGGCCAGAAATTGAGCAACTTCATTTTTGGTGCAAGTACTGGTAAGTGGCACTACTATTCTAAGTTTTTCATCATTTTCGCCAACGTTGGCTTTGCAATAATATAATTTCTTGATTTTGAATGTTTCACACTTTGGTGGATGCAGGATTCTAGTGGCTGTATTGACAATCCTCGAGAGAATTGGTGATTCTTTTATTTCATGGTAGGCTTATTGTGATTTTTGTTTTCGTTTTTCAATTTTAAATGTTGTACCGGTGATATTTGGAAATCATATTGAAATATTATCCTTGATTTTTTTAAACGAAAAATTGTTTTTAATATAAAAATTCTATTGGATAGTTGAAGTATTCACAAAGCTGCTTTAAAAAATAATTTTATTTTCTTGAAAATAAGAACTCTTAGAACCTTTCTCTGACTTCTGAACAGTTGGCTTTTGTAAAATTATTTTCCTTCTGATTGCAGTTACGAATGGTATAACATGTTTTCTTAAAACAGTTGAAATTCTTACAACACTCCGAAAAAACTGTTGACTTTTACCAATCACTTGGCATAATTTCTAAACATTAGTTTTAAATTTTTTAAAAATTGTCCGGATTTTGTCCCCCATACAATTTCTAACGGTACAGTAAGTCATGATTGGTTTATAGTATGTAAACTCTTTTCTAATTATAAAATAAAGTATTGTTCCTTTTAATTTGAGAACCTTGGAAGCATTGAGTATATAAGCGTACAGAAACCCTTTTTACACGGTCTGAAATTTTCTTCATTTTATTGTAGCCATTTCTTAACATGATATTTTGATGTCATATTAGCTACTTCTTTCTTTGGCTTGAAGGTTTCCGTTCTATGGTGAAGCAAAGTTGGCACTCTTCGTTTATCTATGGCATCCAAAAACGAAGGTAATATATATATAACTTTTACCTGCCAATTTTACTTACCATTTCCATTATCATTTATTGATTTAATGAAATTTTATTTTATGTTCAACCGTATGATTTATAAAATTAAATAATAAATTTATATGAGTTAATATTTTGTTGTATCAAAATATTTGTCTGAATTTAATCTCAAATTAAATCTCGGGATGCGAAGGAAATGTTTAAAATATTTCTTCTCCAATTATTGATGTTTAATCTAACAGCCCCAAAAGGCTTATTTTATTGATTTGAATATAAATTTTTTTAAAGCATTCATAAAATTATGTGTTTAGATACTGGTAGAGGAAAAGTATTTTTTTTAACACAAAATTAGGGAACATGTCACCTTTTCACTTGCTTATAATGAATCCAATTTATATTCAATACATTTACTTTTTTTTAGGAGTTACGATGGTTTAAATTCTCAAACTTTCCCATTTCTTGGACAAAAAAAAATTATAGGTTTTCAAAGGAATGAAATTGCTCATTTGAATTTTCAATAATTTCCTCCTTTTTATGGTGAACCACGTGTGTACTGTACTGTCAGGGAGCAAACGATGTGTATGATTCGTTCTTCAGACCATATGTTTCAAAGCACGAACCTGTAATTGACCGCAGCTTGTCAGAGTTCAAGCTCAAGGCTACTGATGCTGCTTTTGCCTACTTTCGCAGAGCTGCATCCTACTATCAAACAACATTGTTTGATATACTTTCAAAGTTTAATACTCATCTATCAACAACGGCTGCTGCTTCGAAGGTAAATGCTATAACATCCTTCTTTTAAACATAATAGTTTTTCAGCGTTTAATAATTGCTTTATGTTATTTTCAATTTAGTGAAATTCATTTAAGAATCAATTTGAATATTAATGGATAGGTTAGCTGATCAAATTCTCCCACTTTGTTAAACTAAAAAAAGTGTTTTTGAAAATTTTAGAAATGATAGTTTTTTTTTCCCAATATTGTAAAAGGATTTTTAATGTTGTGAAAATTTAGGGAAGTGGTTATTTCGTTTTTTTTTCTTTTTATCTTGTAGATACTAAAAACTGTGTTTATGAAAATATTTAAAACAATTTTTTTTAAAAAAAAATGAGTGACGTTTTAATTTTAAAAAGTTGAAAACTAGAACACGTTTCCTAACAATTTCATTTTCAGTTTTATATTTGATGCTCGGTTCTCACCATCTTTTTTAATGCTTCACATTTTTTCTAAAAATATATGAATTTTTAGTTAAAAAAAATGTTTTTCAAAGTTTTGAATTTAATTTTGAAAACATTTTTTTTATAAAAAAACTAAATAACAAAACAAAATTTTAATAGATTATTTATAAGTCTAATTTTAGAAAATTAGACATAACTATCATATCTAGTTAAAACTGATTTTTCTATTTAGTTTTGTACCTTTTTTTAGTTCAATATATTAGGTTGAGAATTTAAATATTTAATACTTTGATTGAAAATATATATTTTTAATAAATCAAATGATGCTCGGTTCAAATGCATCTAGTTTTTACTAGGAACTATTTAAACAACAAAAAAAATGAAACAAACATCTACCAAAATACACAACTTTTAAAAATAAATTAATTGTGATATGCAATAAAATGAATTAAAAATAAGTTTCTATTTGTCCTTATTTTGTAATTTACCGTTAACTTCACTCCATGGTCATTTAGAACAATTTTCTAAAATTTGAAAATTAAAATGTTATATTTTGAATTTAGAGATGGAATAGAAACTTGTTCTCGAAGTTAGTGACCATTTTACCCTTCTATAAAGGTTGTTATCGAATAGCATAAATTTAATACATAATTAATTTTTACTTCTTAGAAGAATGTATCTTTTTTGTTTTTGAGTCCTTTGACATGTGAACGAAGTTTCTAATGGTAAATCTCCAATTAAAAGAAATGATGTCTCTTACCTTAATTAGAATCTTTATTAAGGTTTAAAAAAATTTGACATGTTCTTAAATTAAACTTAGACCTATTTTTTTAAAAAAAAAACAAAAAAACAAAAAGCTATCAATTTTATCTCTTTTTTTTGTAGAATAAAATTTGTTAATTTTCAGTTTCATTTTCCGAAAACAAAATTATATTATGCCTTAAAAAAATATTTCTAAACTTATTTACCCTTATAAATATTTTTTATTATCCTTTTAAAAACCAATTGACTAACTAAACCTGTGGTAAATCTCATTGATTCTGTCAAACTAAGTTTCGCTTTCTTAAAATAAATAAATAAAATAAAAATATTATTTAAAAATGAAAGAAATAATGAAACCTGATGAATTCGTATTCCCTCACAGTTGAGCATTTGGACTTCAGAACTGTGTTTTTAATTCACGTGGCTTTCGGTAGCCAGTTGTCCTAACAATGTGATATAAATGAGATTACAGGCGCAAAAGGAACCATCAACTCATTCGGGAAATGAAGAGGAAGAGGAAGAGGAAAAGGAAGAGGAAGCAAAGGACAAATGAGATTGGGAATGGCAGAACAAAAATATTAAGAAGTATAAATAATGATACCACAAACTCTTCCAATTTCCAAATGAAATGGCTGGTATGGAAGAAAACTCAAAATGTAAAAGTAACAATGAAAGATGGTGAGCATTACTTTGTTAACCCAATAACGAAAAATGTAACAATGAAAGATCAAAGATATATCAAAAAGTACTTTATCCTCTTATTTCTTTCTACCTCCACTCTTTATCTATTTCTTGTTAAAATTGTATTTTCGGTATAAGATTACCTATCAGCTTAATTTTTTAGGTTAATTAGTGATTTAGCATACAAGGGGGGTGGAGACCCAAAACATACGCCTAGGAATTAAACACACTTAATTTTGTTAGCGAGGGAATAGAGACATAAATTTTTAAAGAAAAAAAATACCTTTTATTGGTATAGCACCTTTGTTTTATAGTCTAAATAACAAGATCATGAATTACAATTTCATATAAATATAGATATGGTCATAAATAGCACAATCAATTACCCTAAGCATTTAAAAAAGAGTAAGGAAATAAGATACTGTAAGTAAGGAGGTCTCGGCATACCTCTTTCGACAAAAATGCTGTGGAGAAGAGACAGAACACTTTATCTCTTTGAGCTGAGCGTTGATACACATTTCATTGTTGCTCTCTTTATTATCGGAGGTAATTTTTCTGTAGGAAATGGAAAAAGTGTCGAAATCTGACCTCTTTTATGGAAAAAAGTTGTGTCGTCCTCCATAAAGAAAACCAGAGGTCCTTGATTGGTTGGGGTCTTCCAGGACAAGTTAAAAGTTGTGTTCCTCACCCCATAAGTGCGTAATGCTCACTTGAGAATTTGATTGGAACCAATAATCATCGTCTATCTGCAAAAAGAGAGCACGGAAAAATTAATGATTGGTAAACATTGAATTCATGGCGGTTTTCGGCTTTAAACATGGACCTACATTATTATATAAAGGTAAGATTCTCTGCATTCCATGAAATTCGTGGAAAGGAGAACAAATATTGTTGGTATGTATGTTGGGATTCCTCTGCTGTACCGAAGAAGATAGTTTCGCTTGCTTGGAACTATTTTCTTCCAGCCCTTGTTTTGCAGTCCTACAAGCACAAAAACTACATCATGTTCGAGATCGATATTCGAAAAGCGGAGCAGATTCTCGAGATGAAGGTTGTGTAATAGTAAGTGGAATGAATTCTGAGCAAGAAGAGGAGGCTGGCATGGAGAGAAGAGCTAAGTTTGTAGCAATGTAAGACGTCAGAGTGATATACCTCAAGAGGTACAAATCAATTGGCCCAGTGGTGCTTTTGATGATCAGTCTACACTGCCTTTCAGAAAAACAAGCTTCCTGGTTTATAAAGGAAACTTATCTATCAGATGCTAATTCTAATGCTGATGGATTAGAAAAATTGCCAAATTCTATGAACTTATGATGATAACAACCTCATCCGGATCAGGCACTTCAATACAGCTAGCTTGAGGGGCTTGTACTGCTATGAGTGTTTGATTCTAATTCATTAGTAACAGAACAATAGTGAGTTGAAGAGAAGATTGTTTAATTTGCGAAATTTATGGAAATTACCATAGCTCAAGAAAAATGACCTTGAAACTAGGAACTCGCAAGATATCTTCTTCCGTTATAAAAAGATTCCTGACAGTCCAAGAGGGACAAATATTAAAGAAAAGAAGCAAAAAATGTAACTTTGATATGAGTAAAGAGTTTGACGGGACAATCTTACTTTCTGTGATTTGCATTTTCCTCGAGATTTCTCAGAAGTTCTTGTTTCATCCTGCATAAAAAGAATCAGTGAAGCTCTTTTTTTTCCCCTTCTTTTCTTAAAGGTAAGGGAAGGAAGAAGGGTCTGATTCTCTAAAACCCAACCAACCTTATAAGTTCATCAAGTCTATGTTCATCTGCATACAAACTTTTAACTTCAGCCTGTAATAAGATCACAATATGATGAACAATTTAGACTATGCAAACTGTGAGAACGAATCATAGAGTTATATAAGGACCAAAGCCACTTTTATTAGTCTGTACCAGTTATAGTAATCTGCCGACTGATATTTTTCATCATATCCATTGGAACTATAAACCTTCAGCAATATGCTCGATGGTGAATTTAGAGTTCCCCCAAACAATCAACATGACATAATGTCAGCGTCAATTTCTAAATAACCTGTTAGGCCCCAAGGGGTAAATGTCTATGCTATAAAGGTAAAAAAGGGAATCTTACTCCACAAGTTAGTTAGAGAATGTTGTGAATATATTTTGTAGAGGAGCAGTGAGCTAGAGATCATTCTCGTTATTTGGAGAAAGGTTTGAACATGGCACTCTCCAATAAGCCGAGTAAGTGTCAATTAGGTGACTTGCCATTTTTTTAAACTTTCTACTACTAAATAAAGATTAGATACTAAAATAACCTTCTTTATATGGGATAAGCTTCTGACATTTATTACTTGTTTGTATTACCCAACTTATGCAGCTCATCAACAGTGTATTAGCATTTTAAGTAGTTAGCTACAAGTATAATGCGACTTTGGTTCACCTATGTCAACCAAGAAAGATTCAAGTTAACAGACAACAGAATGAAGTTTCAGCAATAACTACACAAACGAAACTGAAAGTAAAGCTCAAATTACCACCATTGATGTTCAATTCACGAATAAACATGAGAATTTAATTTAAGGCCAAACCCTCTCCAATTAAATGTACTTGACATTGGACGTAACGAACATATAATTTAAACAATATATTCAGTTGATAAGTGTTCAAACATCATAAAGACGGTTCACAATTAACAGGAACTAACTACGAGATGTTGATTGGAGAGCAAAGTATGACCAGTTGAAATGTGTATTTGTAAAATAATCATACCAAACATAACAAAAAAGAGATTGAAATCTTAAATCTTAAATATCAAAGACTATAATGCAAGGCACCTTTAGTTTACCAACTTGATCGTTGAGCTCTTGAGGCCCACGCCTCTCGCATCCCCTGTTCACAAGATTTAAAATCATTACTCAGTGCACTTTGCAGTTTCCAATGGAGAAATAAGGATAATAACAATATAATTACTTCCAACGTATATGATTTGTCGTCGTTTTCTCTATAAGCCCTATTCCCTCGAGAACATTTGTAATGTCATAAATCCTCCTCTTTTGAACCTGTATCAAACATTATTTCTAAAATTCTTATAACAAAGAAATAAATGATTGATAGAGTTAAGTATCAAACTTGTAGAGGACATAATCTCAGCCAATTTGAAGAGCTTCTCTAAGACCTTCCAGGCAGAAAAATTAGATTCTATACCTTTAATACGTCTGCAGTTTTATTTAAGTCAAGTGTTCCATCTTCAGCCTCCTGAACTAACCTGATAAATTTTTTTGTCAAGAATCCTGCCGATAAAATAGACAATGTTTCAAATCTCAACCGCCGGATCCAAGTGCATATATGAGGATTTTATTACATATTTGTTCACCACAACTTTACCTAATGAACTGTCGTACCGACCGTTGGTAGAAAGATTAGGATCATCAATAGGCTCTACAACAAAAAGAAAATCCACGGAATTAATATAAAATACATACACGATGAACTATAACCATTTAGCAAGAAGGATATTGTAATTACCGTCTACGGATTTTTGAGTCCTCGACTTTGAATTTTTCTGCAACTTCAACTTTTTGTTTTGCTTTTTATTTGCACTGGATACTGGTTTACATAAAGAATCATTAGATCGCATCCTCTGTTCAGAGGCTACAACTCGTCCACAAGCCAAGGCCTCAGAGTCATTGATACCATATGTTCGTTTCAACTGTAAAAAGATAAATATATTGACCAATAAATATTTAAAGAAAGGAGACACAAATATATAAGTAAAATAGATCGATATATAGATCATCGATTCTGATATTGAAGAGATTAAATACATTCATAAAATAAGGGGGAAAAAGGCTTGCTGATGTTTTGCGACATTCATGAATAGGATCTTACAGAAAGGCACTCCATTACGCTAAAAGCGGAAGCAGATTGCAATTGCTAAAATAGAAGAAAATCTATTACTAGAAGTTCAAGAGAGAGAAAGCTTAAAATGCATCCCAAATCTTGACAACTCAATTAAATTCGATAGAATTCTACTGGTTGAGTAACAATTTACACAATAATTATCAGGAAATCGAATCAAAGTAGAACATCACGATCCAGATTCACAAATCCATCAATCTTTACCTAAAAACCCTCGCAAACTCAATAATTGAATATAAACACCGATCTTCGAATCTAAATGAACACTCAAAGAAGATTGATCGCACATCGGGAATCATAAAACAAACAAACATCAAAACAAAGAAGATCACTAAGAAACTCACGTCGAGCGTAGCAACTGTAGAATGTGCGCCGGGAGCATGACGGCAGTTGCAAGCGTTGGACTGATCCGACGGCGGAAAAGGCCGATGACACTGAAGTAAACAAAGAGGCGGAAGAGCTGGAGCTGAAGAAGAAGAAGAAGAAGCAGACGACGAAGACATATCGCGATGGTGAGAGCGAGATTGAAGGAGATGAAATCGGAAATCGGAGTGGCGATGGCGGTGGCGAAGGATGAGATCTTCGACGGCGTTCGACATCGGGAAAGACGGAGGAAAAGGGAGGGAGTTATGGAGGTTTTTGAAGATTGGAGGGAAAGAGAGAGAGAGAGAAGGGAAGAAAAGACCGATGGAAAGAAGAAAGAGAAAGAGTACGTAGAGCGGCGAACGAATAGAAGGAGGAGAGAGAATGAGATGGAATATTGGAATAATAATAATAAATATTTGGAACGGAACTAAAAAAGAGATCAGAAAATAGGGATGGTGAAAATTACAGGAACGGACTCCCCAATGCTTCTCTTTGGGCGGGAACGGATATATACCAATCAATTCCAATCTCCATTTTTTTTCCTTCTAATTTTTTTTAATAATACATCATTTACCATTAAAATTAAATTAAGCTCATTTATAAATAAATATATATATTTATTTATGACTATTAGTGATATTATAATTGGTCACTTTTTATAATTTGAAAAAAAAAAAACCATATGTAATACTTAAAATCACAAAATTTTTTATATTGAACGAGTTAGTTCAATGCTGGCAGTGTTTCATATTTATAAACTCATGATTTTCTTCTTAATTGATCAATGTGGGACTACTCTTCTTAATAATCTTCAACGTAAGTATTTCGGTCATTACTATTTAATCAATCTTTTTTCAGTGAGTAATTGTGAAAAGTTTTTCTAGAAGTATAACTTAGATATTTAATCGGGGCTTCGGTTGCCGGCTTCCCTATCATTAGGTCCCCAACTTCCTTGATGGAAATTTCAACAATGTGTACCTTCTTTTTTTGGTAACTCAATCGTAAAAACTTCAAAATTAACTTTATTTGATTCAGAACAATTTTATATTGGGTCTATTAAGACCATGTGAATAGTGACAAAGTATACTAAAATGACTCGTGTTGGTCTTATGGATATTCTTTCACTCTTAAAAATACTTCAAATTAAGTACGTAAAGAAAAAATGTGCCGAAATTAAGTTACAGTTTAAAGTGAGTTAAATACTTCTTTTTTTTTTTTAAGCTCATTTTTTTATAGACAATTTATTATTTAGGTTAAATATAGTTTCCATTTTTTTCCATAAATTTACAAGTTAACCACGTGAGTCAATCATTTAAGGCGGGAATGAATGTTGTAATGACCCAAACTTTCCCTTCACGCAAACAAGCTGTTCATAAGCTTTTTAATGTTTTTTTTTTAATTTTAATTTTTAACCCTATAAGCTCCCTGTAATTATGGCACTTTTAACTTTTAATTTTTATTTGTGTTTACTGAATTGATATAATATTTTGAGAATATATTATTTATTGGAAATATTTATTAGATATTATATTTTAATATTCTTTCTGATTTATAATATATTTTATTTTATTAATTAAATACTTAATTGCTAGCCGGTATCATATTTAAAGCTTATGAATATCAATAAGAATATCTACCTTTTATCTCAATTCCATTTCTCAGTTGTAATGTCTTAAAATTATTTGATTTCATAATCATATACTTCTAAACTTTTTATAAGAAATTAGTGAATAGCACTCTTCATCGTTTTAAAAGTTCGTTTCAAACTGATTTTGCGAGATTCCATATCGGTTGGAGAGAGGACGAACCATTCCTTATAAAGATGTGGAAACATCTCCATAGGATACACATTTTAAAACTTGAAGAGAAAGCATAGAAGGAAAAGTTCAATAGAGACAATAACTATTAGCGATTAGTTTGGGCTATTACAAAGTGTCTCCATATGTTTTCAAGTGTTTTCAATTTTAAGCATTTTTACTTATTTCCATGTCAGTGAGTAACGATATGTGGCTCGAGTCCTTTGAAAAGCGGTCCATTTTTACTCATTTTCATATCAGTGAGTAACGTGGCTCATGTGCCTAAAAAATCTGTACATTTTTTTTATTTCCACGTCAGCATGGCTCGAGTCTCTAAAAAAGCGGATAGCTAGAGATCTTGACGGGAACCTTAAGGAAAGAAAAACTCTACTTACGACTTCTTCGTGTTGACCATTAGGCTTGAAAGATTCAACTTGGGATGAGGCAAGGTCAGCAAGGGGCGAACGCATTATTGTACGAGGCGGGCGAGAGTCGAGCGCAAACCAGGCGGTCGCCATCATTGATGTCGAGCAAAACGCTGCAGCCCTCCCACGTGGGAATTTTAGGGCTTGTGAGGAGAGTGGCGGTTGGAGGACAACTGCACACAAAACCCGCGAACCAGAGGGTTAACCGTTGGCATCGTTAGTGTGGCTCGACTGAATCGAAGCCCAATTTAAGTTGGACGGGTTCGCCATAACCAAGCCGTCGACACTTCTTGTGGGCCGACTAAATTAGGGCAAATTTGAAGGTTTGAATTCTTTTATAGTTCTAAATTTAAAAAACTAATATTAAATTAATAAAAACACCTTTATAACTTCAATTTTTTAAATTAAAAAAAAAACTCTAAAAAAAAGTTTAGAAAACATTATTATAGTTAGTTAAAAAAATAAAAACAGTTAATAATTTATTCCATAAATATGGGGAATTTAAAAATTTTAAATTTTTTTAAAAATAAGTGTAATTTTTTTAAAAATATATTTTAAATTTAAAATACACTTACCGTTAGTACATTCAAAATTAATATTAAAAAAATAGATAATTTATGAGATATCGTGCAACAACCTAAATATCTAAAAGACATACATTTACGGAGACTCTTTTTAAATATTACGTAGTAAATATTAATATAGGAAAAAAAGTATATATATATTTAATTTAATTTAAATTTTATTTTCTTCTATCCCGGTTAATAGTGAGCTGAGCTGGCATGATTAATATGAGGCAAAGAGGTGGCAGTGTTTGATTAGGAAGAATATATAAGGGGGCAAAAATGAGTAGGCGACACAATCACTTCAAAAGGTCCAAAACTCCATAAATTATTATTTCATAACAACGTCTTTACTTCAACTACTCAATAGCCCAACCTAACTTCACCATTTTATTATTATTATTATTCCTTTTCAGAATATGTTTGGTATGTGGTTTTAGAAAAAATATATATATATATATATATATATTCCGTTAAAATTATGAAAGAAAATTAACACGTCGCTAACAATAATTGTTTACATTGGCCCGTTATGTATCGCCGTCAGTCTCGGGGTCAGACTGAAACGGAGTTCTCCAACATCATAGAGCTTGGGAAGCTCGGACCCGATCAAGATCCGAACCACTACTAGACTAGACATTGAGTGAGGTAGTGGTTTTTTCTATTAGTTGCGATGCAACCAGGCGTTTACTTATAAGATTTGTTGAGTAGGCTTGCCTTAGTTGTTTGCTGTAAGATTGCTAGTTTTTGAGCTCTTGACATAAAAAAGTAGATCCGGCTTGGCTTCGCTATCGCTCATGACTTGTACTGTAGTCCTAGTCTTGTAGTCGGGAGCTTTCTTTGTCTAATTCGTAGTCTCTACCCAGTGATCTTTCCTATGGTTTTAAAATGTGAAAGAAAGCCACCATTAGTCTATGGTTTTAAAATGTGTCTGTTAGGGACAAGTTTTCACACCCTTTTAGTAATGTTTTGTTCTCCCTCTCCAACCGATGTGAGATCACGCAATCCACTCGCTTTGGGGGCCAGTGTCCTTGTTAGTATAGCGCCCTGCGTATGTCTTTGATACCATTTGAAACAACCGAAGTCTAACGCTAATTATATTGTCCGCTTTAGTCTGTTACGTATGTCATCAGTCTCACGATTTTAAAACGTGTCTTTTAAGAAAAAGTTTACACACTCTCGTAAGAAATGATTCGTTCTCCTCTTCACATGTGAGATCTTATTACGTTCATTTTTTAGTCCTTGGCTTCAAAAAGAAGAAAACTCCTTAAAATAAAATTAATAACGTTATCTTATATAAACAAATTAGAAATTGATTAGAGAAAAATCATTGCCTCACATGGATGCTTCGGCGACGACTTCCAAAGTCCTCTATAAACTCTTCGTGCTCTCTCCAAACACCAGGACAAGCTATCCACGAAAAATAAGAACCAACTCATCCTTATCCCGCACACCATATCCTCATAACCAAACAACCCTCTAGCGCGAGTCACAATTCTCACATGGAGAAGAATCCAGCCGTTTCGATCAGGCAAAAATCAAACGGAGCAAACAGCTTCATCATTAACGTGGAGGATGATCAAGAGGATTTCAGAGGAGGAAGTCCCGGTGTAAGCATCTCTCCGGCGAGATTTCTCAGCCGGATCCGCCGGATTCTGATGCGATTCATGTTTTATTTTCCTTCTCGAGGTTCGTCGCCGTCATCGTCGTCGTCAATAATGGCGTCGAAGCGGAGAAATCTGGAGAAATTCGAGCCGCCGAAGACTTCCTGCAGTTCGAATTACTCGTCTTACTCGCATTACAACGAAGCTATTGCCGATTGCATCGAGTTCTTCAACAAGTCGTCGCAGGATCAAATCGGAATCTCCGATGCAAATGCGATGGTATGAACATGATGATATAACAATCCGCGCACACACGCTAACTCGTTGTTAAATTGTGTCGATTCTCTGATTTTGAAGCTTCAACGAACGAGAACAATCTCAAATTCGATTTTCTGCAAATTTCCTTCACTGATTCTGCGGTTTGAGATTGCAATAGAGAATCGATTCGTTGTGTGTGTATATATGAGAGAGCGAGAGATACAGAGATATTATTGTGCTATTTCAATTTCTAGTTTCTTCATCACGTTTGTCGGGTTGCGTAACTTTTTGATTTCCTTTTGATTGAAGGTTCTATGGAAGAAAATAAGTTGCCTCTACAACAAGATTTTAAACAAGAACAATTGTTTTTAATCTCAATTTGTGTTCGAAGAGTTTCTACAAATTCAAAATCATTGGAACTCAAAGCTATGATTAGTAAATTTTAATTTTTTTTAGATAAATCAATTTAGTTGTCGTGGACTGTGAGATCTCACATCAGTTGTAGAAGAGTGAATATTTTTTTTATAGATAGAAGTTTCTCTATGGTCAAAGCATTTTAAAATTATGAAGCTTACTATCATATGTAATTGGTGAAAGTAAAAAATATCCGCTATCAGTGGGCTATCAGTGGACTTGGGCTGCTACAAATGATATCAGAGTCAGACATTGGACGTTGTACTAGTAAGAACTAGTGGGCTTGGGCTGCTACAAAT